GGCAGATGTCCATGCTGAATGTCCAGGGTCCAGGCTGTACTGACGTCACATGTGCTAAACATCATTCTGGCTTCTTCTTGTTTTATGGATGTGACATTGTTTTGCTCCCCCAAAGGATCCCCTACACACACACAAGTCAATAATCAAGTTTGTACAAGCAGACTTTCTCTGCAAAGATGAGATTGCCTCTTGATTAAACCAGCCCAACACTGACCCCTGGTGGTCAGCTCTTCCGTGTGGCTGAAAGAGCGTCTGTTTGTCTGTTTGGGGAGCTTGTTAAAAAAACCACCTTTTTTCTTCGACTTCTTGGCTTCCTCTGTTCGTAGTCTGCAGATCACAGCTTTTCTTGGTTCCCCATCTTATCCTTTAAGTCATTTTTTTCTCATTTTAGGGAATCTGGAGCAAGAGGAGAGGAAGCCAGGGGATACGATGTTTTCGCATTCTGCTCTGATGCGATCCTAGAGTCTGGACTCAGGCACAAGTGGACAGGGCTTGTGAGTAGCTCACTCAGGAAACGGAGCGGTGAGGCATGTGATGCCAATGGAGGCAGCAGAGAGAATGAGGAAGTCCTGAGAGAGAAGGCACGGGTGCTGGGGGCCGTGAGAGGGTCTGACCCCAATGCAGATTAACTTCCCATGGGTGGTCAGCTTGGGGGAGACTGGGCTGTGGGGGAACATGGATTTTAGGGTACTCAATGCCAGAGTGACAGTCACCACTGGTGATCTGTCTCCCGTGGGCTTGCCTGGTGGTTTCAGTGGGGTTGTGGTATTCAGTGGCCGGGCAGCCACTGGGTAGGGTTAGGAGAATAATCATTCTTCTCACACCCTGACATATGGCTAAATGTGCCCAAGGACTCCGAGGCTTCGGGAAGGCTGGGATATTCCTTAGCGTCCATCATCACTGTCTCTGCCATAGCCTCACGCCCCTGAGGAAGAAAGGTGGAGGGGAAATTCACAAAACAAAGCCTTTCTACGTCGCCTTCTCCTGCCCCAGGGCTGCAATCTGGAACCCTCGTCCTTCCCCCCTAGCCCTTCCTCCAGGCATCTTGTGCTTTCTTTTGACCCAGAAGAGAGGTTTCCATCCAGGGCCCCAGGCCTCTCTCTCCCTGGGAGGATAATTTCTGAGGAATAGGCAGAGAGTCCAAGAAATAACACTTCCATCCATCTTCCTAGGTATATACCCTGGGACAGTTGTGACCCCAGATCTACTGCCCCTGTAACGTACATTACACTGGTGTGTGTGTGTGTGTGTGTGTGTGTGTGTGTGTGTGTGTGTATTTGTGTGCATGTGTATGTATGCATGTGTGTATATGTGTGCCTGTG